TGTGCCATGGACAGCTCGCAGTGGTTGCATGCTTCTGTGTTTTTTTTCTTTCCTAACACTGCAATGTTGCATGTCACAGCTGCGTTTGCATGTAACAGCTGCAGTATTACATGTAACAGCTGCAGTGTTGGATGTAACAGCCCTAATGCCCTGTCCAGATACGACCCGGTAATTTTCGAGCAGGACTGGCTAATTTTGATATGGTTCTAGTTCTACTATAAGTTATATATAGTAACATCAAAAACTTTCGAGAGAACTGGCTCCAGAGCCTGTACAAAACCATTATCAACAAGCTTGAAATGGGGGAGGGGAGGCAAGATCGGCTTTATTTTAGTCAAATACGGCCTGCCACTACAGACACTTTCTGAATAGCAAGAATGAGAAGAGGGGTGACCCTGTAGATCGTTTGGAGTTTTTTTAAAGCTGTTTCACTTACCTTGTCCTTCATTGTATTGTACTCTTCAACGCTGTCCTTCTGCTGCCTACGCAGACTGTCTATCTCCTTTCCCAGCATCTCATGTACCTGTAGCACATGGGGAATAATAAAAATCAAAATAATAATAATAACAATATATATAATAAATATAATAACAATAACAATAAAAATAATAATATCTGTCATTTCAGTCAAGAATAGTAATAACAAATAAAAATAAATAATATAATAAAATATGATAGTAAGATGATTGAAATCAAGTAATCACCAATCAGCACCTATAATCAGCACCTATAATTGGCACTTATAATTACAGCCCACATCCAGAGTCGATATGAAAAGTATTAAAACTAGCTGAAATAAATTACTCACGAATATTCATAATCAGGCAAGAATCACCAAACAGGCACGTTTACAATTTTAAATACTAGGGGGCGGCACGTTCTCAGCAAATACGAGCATTGTGGGCAGTAGAGGGGGGAGAGCAAATGTACCCACTCAGCTTAGATTACACAGTGTTGTAGGAACGATGGGGGAGAAATACCAAGAATAGCAACAGATGGCATTTAATTCAGGAACTGAATAGATAGTTTAAAATTCCCTGTAATCGTATTGCACCCACACTCAAACCATGCAAGCTACAAAAAACATTTGTATCGCTATTTAGCTTGAGCTGTGTTGTTTGTACACAAAAACGTCCAATAACAAAATTCAAGGTGCCGAACTTATACACAAAGCTAAGAAATCTTGTTAATGTACCAATGTTTTGTACCAACTTTTCACGGCAAAATACGGAGTGTGACTTGTACACAAATACGACTTATATACACAAGTAAATACGGTAAATGTTTTTTATAGCTTAATTTCACGGTTTGGGTGTGGGAGCGATACGATTACATTTACAAGTTTGCGCCAACCCAGATGAGTGATTATAGATTGAGGCGTGGGGAGAGAACGCAACAGTGAGGGGATTGGGGAGGAGACATACGTGCATGGGGAGGGGATCAAGGAGGAGGACATACGCCGGCATGGGGAGCGGGGATCTGAGGAGGACGACATACTGTGCGATGGGTGAGGTGATCCGGAGGAGACACAGTACGCACACGGGAGGGGATCAAGGCGACATACGATGCATTGGAGGGGATCGAGGAGGCACATACCGTGCCACGCGGGATCGCAGGATGCGAGACATACGTGCATTTAAGGAGGGGATCGAGATGAGGAGCATACGCGCATGGGAGGGGGGATCGAGGAGGAGACATACGTGCATGGGGAGGGGATCGAGGAGGAGACATACGTGGCATTGGAGGGAGGGGATCGGGAGGAAATACGTGCACTGGGGAGGGGATCGAGGGAGGGAGACATTTATGCGTGGCGGAGGGGGATGAGTGAGGAGACATAGTTGCATGGGGCGGCGGATCGATAGGAGGAGAAACATACGTGCATGGGGCAGGCTCGGGAGACATTAGCGCTGCATTGGCGGCGGGGATCGCAGGAACGGAGACCATACGTGCCATTGGGCAGGATCGAGGAGACATACGTGCGTTGGGAGGGCATCTGAGGAGGGGAGCAGTACGTGCATATGGGGACTGGCGGACGCACTGGAGGATGACATACGTGCCATGGGGAGGGATCGCAGGAGCGAGACGATACGTTGCATGGGAGAGGGCGTGAGTCGAGACAGACATACGCTTGGCATGGGGGCAGCTGGGAGTCGACGGGACATCCACGGCAATGGGCAGGGTGCGAAACTCAGGGGAGAGGAGACATACGATGCAATGCGGGAAGGCGAGTCGAGGAGACATACGTGCGTGGGGCGTGGATCGAGACGAGGAGACATACGTGCATGGGTCGGGGGATCCTGAGGGCAGGAGACATACTGTGCACGGGCGAGGGGATCGAGGAGGAGACAGTACGTGCATGGGAGAGGGATTCGCAGTGAGGAGACATACGTGCATGGGGAGGGATCTAAGGAGGGATGACTACGTGCATGGGGAGGGACTAGAGGAGACATACTCGTGCAAATTTTTTTTTTTTTTTTTTTTTTTGGTAGGGGATCGAGGGACATACGTTGCATGGGGAGTGATCGGAGGAGGAGAACATACGTGCATGGCGGAAGGGACTTCGAGGAGACATAGTGCGTGGAGGGATCGAGGAGTGAGACTACGTGCATGGGGAGGGAGCGAGGAGGAGACATACGCGCACGGGGGAGGGGATCGAGAGGAGAATCATCTGCGCTATGGGAGGGGATCGAGATCCAAAAGAGACGAGGAGACATTACGGCGCACGGGAGGGAGTCGAGGATGAGACATACGTTGGCACGGGAGGGGATCGATGATGAGTGCATTTGGGAGGGGATCGAGGAGGAGACTACGTGCATCAGGGAGGGATCGAGGGAGGAGACATATGTGCACAGGGAGGGACGAAGGAAGTTGAGATAATGTTGCATATCGATATCTCTTCGAGGAGACATACGTGCATGGGGGAGGGACCACCATCGAGGAGGAGACATACGTGCATGGGAGGGATCGAGCAGATATACGATGCATGGGAGGGATCGAGGAGTGAGACATACGTCGACGGCGCGACGGGGGATCTGAGGAAGGAAGACATCTCGGTGCACGGGGAGGGATCGAGCTGAGACCTACATGCATGGGGAGGGATCGAGGAGGAGAAACGTGCACGGGGAGGGAGCATCTGAGGAGGAGACATACGTGCACCTGGGGAGGGGATCGAGGAGGACATACGTGATGGTGGAGGGAATCGCAGCGAGGAGATACGTTGCATGGGGTGTGAGCGCGGCGGCGGCCGAGGAAGGGCAGCATACGTGCATGGGGCGAGGGGATCGTAGGTCGTGCGAGACATACGTGCTTAGTATGGCGGCCCGAGGGGTGATGGGGATCTGAGGAGCGAGACATACGTGCAATGGGGGAGGGGAGCGAGGAGGAGACATACGTGCATGGGGAGTGGGATCGAGGAGACATACGTGCACAGTGGAGGGATCGAGGGAGGAGACATACAGTGCACGGGGAGGGCATCGAGGAGGAGACATACGTGCATGGTTGGAAGGGGAGTCGACGGAGAACATAGGTGCATGGGGAGGGGATCCGGCTACGAGGATGGAGAATCGTGCGTGGGGAGGGGATCGAGGAGGAGACATACGTGCAATGGGGAGGGATTCGAGGAGAAATACGTGCATGGGGGAGGGCGATCCGAGGAGGAGAAATACGTGCATGGGGAGGGTCCGAGGCAGGAGACCTCGTGTCATGCGGAGGGCATCGAGGAGGAGACGATTACTGTTGCATGGGGAGGGGTCGTATGGAGACATACGTTTGCTGGGGAGGGGACCGTCGGGGGTAGGAGACATACTGTGCATGGGAGGTGAGGAGACATACGGTGCATTGGCTGGAGGGGATCGCCAGGACGGAGACATACAGTGCACGGGAGGGGATCCGGGAGGAGAGCATACGTGCGATCGGGAGTCTGGATCGAGGAGGGCATACCGTGCACGGGAGCGGCGGGATCGAGGATGGAAGAATACTGTTGCACAGGGAGCGGAGATCTGAGGAGGAGACATACGTGCATGGGGAGGGGATCGAGGAGGAGACATACGTGCATGGGGAGGGGATCGAGGAGGAGACATACGTGCACGGGGAGGGGATCGAGGAGACATACGTGCATGGGGAGGGGATCAAGGAGGAGACATACGCGCATAGGGAGGGGATCGAGGAGACATACGCGCATGGGGAGGGGATCGAGGAGGAGACAGGCTCACCTCAGAGAGGTTGGTCTTCTCTCCTCCGTGCTCATGCTGCTGCTGCTGCTCATGCTGACCCTCACCCGCTGGCTTCTCGTGCTCGGACTCGTGGTAGGCGCGCATCATCTGCTGGCAGTTCCTGCGTATCTGCTCGCTCTCCTCGCGTGCAACACGCAGCTTCCTCTGCACCTCCTCCAGCTCCAGCCGCGTCTCCTACGACAGGGAGACGATGATGGAGAGATGGTAAGGGTGCGAGGACGAATGAGAGAGAGAGGGGGAAAGAGACAAAGACGAGAGAGAGACAAATACAATAGAGAGACAGAGAGGCAGAGATAGGGGGAGAGAGAGAGAGAGAACGAGAGAGAGAAAGAGAGAGAGAGAGAGAGAGAGAGAGAGAAAATATAAACAAGATTTTCAAACACATTCGTCCAAATTTTTCCATCTTGCAATAATAATTGGAGAGTTCACTAAATGTGCGGTAACGTAGTTGTTTGTACCTGATATGACCAGATCAATAATTGTTAATATTAATTAAATTATTACAGCACTGAATGCGTACAGTAATAGTGAGTATATGAAGGAATAAACCAATTAACACTGCTGCTGCAGTTGCTGTTTCACATAGATTGGGAAGAGGCTAATATACAAAGTAGTGCTGTAACGATACACAAGCCTCTCGATTCGATCCGGTTCTCGATATTAGCCTCTCGATTC